AAGGCGTTGGCGACGTCGATTTGCCGCAGCTTCTTCTTCTTCATGGCGGCGATCGCGAGAAGGATTCGCAATGACGTGTGTCGGCTGACCGGGGCGAATGTCTCGGTGAAGTCGCGCCCGTGTTCTTGGTCGAAACCGCGTACGACCCAGCGTGCTTTAAATTTGTCAATGGTGCCGTCTGCCTTTGTCTTCACACGGAAGACCCACTTTCCGGTAAGTATAGTCTTGTTTCGTGCCACACTGATGGGAACGACTTTCCAGGTGTTGCGCTCCTCTAGTGCCTTCAATTCCCTGTCCATGGCTTCGCGCCATTTTTCCCTGTGCTCCCCCCCCAGAGCCTGCTGAACCGTCGCAGGCTCCTTAGGAATCGCAGCGCCGTGGACCGCGGTGACCAGGCCAAGTATCTGGAGGCCACTCTGTGTGTAGCGGGGGAGTGTGGGATCCGCGGGATAAGCTGCTTCGTCACCTGCTTCTGGGTCAGGTATGAAGTTGGGCCCTATGCGTTCTGCTTCGTTGGTGTTGACTTCTGCAGGTGTAACGTAACCATTGTCGGCGAAGTGATAGAATATTTCGGCGTTGACGCTTTCGCGAGGGTTTTCGTCATCCATAAGGACATTGACGGAGCAGTACGGGAGAGGTCCGGCTTCCTCCGAGGCTGCTTCCACGTTCTGTTCGTCCCAGTCAGCTTCGTCCGCTGCGAAAGCGAAGGCTCGGTCTCCATGAAGTCCACTGGTGAGGTCGCGTTGTTCTTCCACGTTGGCTAGGTAGGAGTCGAGAGTGAGTCGTTCGTAGAAAATCACATCACGTGCTGCCACTGTTTCCTTGGTGTGGACGTCGAAAATCTTCCATGCGTTGTAATTCTTTTCGATGCCCAGGTGTAGCCCCCACTGTGCGCGTTGGGAGAGTCGGCCGGCTCGTGCAGATGGGGGTCGGTACTGTACCATGCAGCCGAAGACCCGTAACATTTTTGTGCTGCCCAATTTGCCTGTCCACAGCAGATGTGGTGATGCGTTGTTCGGGAGCGATGATGACGAGAGCAAGTTGTGCAGCATGACGGCGTGGTCCATTGCTTCGGGCCACTGGTGGTTGGGTAGTCGCATGCCACGTAGCAGCTTGCGCATGGTGTTCTGAAGGGTTCTGTTCATTCTTTCTGCCACACCCTGCTGTTGATGGGCGTAGGGAAGGGAGATGAGCCTCTTGATTCCCTTCTCCGCCAGGTAGTCCTTGAAGCGTTGTGAGGTGTATTCTCCGCCTCCATCTGACTGAAAACTCTTTAGCTTCACTCCGGACTCTCGTTCTGCTGCTGGAAGCCAGGCGACGAATGCTTCGAAAGCCATGTCGCGACTCGAAAGGTTCAGGTGCCAAACGTATCGAGTGGCAGCGTCGATGAAGGTGATGGTGTAGTTGTAAGCTCCTTGTCCTGGTACGCGATTGTACAGGATGTCGCTGTACACCTTTTCGAGCGGTGCGTATGCTGGTGCACTCGGGTTGTGGTGAGGGACAAACGGCTGATGCGGTAAGTCAGCTTCAGGACATGTGAAGCACGTTCCTTTTACTCGTTGGAGTTCTCTCCCGTCGTGTAGTAGGAGCGAGTCTTTGTCGAGCAATCCTCCTCTTATCGTGTTGTTTAACGTTGTGTTGCTCGGGTGTCCCATCCGTGCATGCCAGATTTCTTCGCTGGCGCGGTGTCCGGGTGAACGTCGGTACATGTCGGAGTTGGAGTAGAAGTTGGCGCTTCGATGAACTTCTCATCATGCCGGGTTTAGCTGCTGTGCGGGTGTCGGTGGTGTGTCATCGACGAAGATCGGTGCCGTTGAAGGACCAGTGATTGGTGTTGATGTTACCACTGCTGTTACCATTGTCTCTGTTGCTGTCGTTGTTGTCTCTGCTGCTGCCGTTGTTGTCTCTGCTGCTGCTGATGTTGTCTCTGCTGCTGCCGTTGTTGTCTCTGCTGCTGCCGATGTTGTATCTGCTGCTGCCGATGTTGTCTCTGCTGCTGCCGAATGTTGAATTGTCGCTAACGCTCTTGTTCTTTCTGCTTCAGGAATGGTGTGCGAGTACCAGAATCCTTCGGGGCTGAAGTTGGGGTCAAGATCCGGTGGATGTGTCCAGGAAGTGAAGGTGACAATCCCGTCGCTGTCAGCTGTGCCAAGGTCTGGGACGAAGTCGAGAACGAAGACGTTGTTCTTCAGAACTGCCTTGCCGATGTAGAGACCTCCTCTTCCGTGGTACAACTTGAACTCCTGAGTGGTGCTATCTGCTTCAAGGTGGATGCCTTTCGCCATCAGCTGGCTGACGCTCAGTAAGTTGTAGCCAAGTCCCTCCGCGATTAATACTTTTGACATCTGCAGTATAACATTTGTCTCCCTTGACTGAAGTTGAACCACGCCTTGTCGTCGTGTGCGCAGGTTCTGATTGTTGGCGACGGTGATGACGACTTCGCGTTGAAGTTGGTGCTCGCGCTGAACGAAACGTCCCGAGGAGCACATATGTTGCCCGCAGCAGCTATCCAAGAACCAAGTATCTTTTCCGTATGGCTCGCTTTGGGCGATGGCTGCGTACGTTGGGTTCGGTTGAAGTGACTCGCGGCGAGGTGTGGTGTTGTGTTGCTCCTCCGGTGAGTAGTGTGGCGGTGACTCGGTGATACAGGAGTCGCTCAGTCTTGCCATACAACTGACGATGTTCCTTGCTCCTTGTGCAGGTGGTCCCGTTGATGTCGTTTGAACTTGAGCGGTGGGGTTCGCTTGTGTTGAAGCGACTTGGCTGCTTGAAGGTCGAAGTTGTCGCTGTGGCGGTGTTGATTGTTGTCGATTCGGGCAGTGTGTGTGCGGATGTCCTGACGTCTTGCAGAGATGGCAGAACGGAGGTACAGGCTTTGGTTGATGTCGGGTGTTGTTGTTGTTGTTGTAGCGTCGCTGAGTGTGGAACGCAAATTCGGGAACTGACGTTTTCTTCTTGTGCCGCTCCTCTTGCAGGTCCATGTCTTGCTGCTCGGCGTGAATTTCGACGCAGAGTGCTGCTTTGGAAATCTTCCCATGAGCTTGGAGAATGGCTCGAGTGGAGCGCCAATGAGGACCAAGTCCAGTGATGACAACTGTGACGAAGGCTTCTTCGGAGATTGACCCTCCGCATCGAAGGAGTTTGTCGCGTAGTTCGCGGCAGCGGCTGATATACGCCATTCCCTTTTCGCCTGGTTTCATCTCGACTGTTGTCAGTTGCGCCATCAACCGACTCTGATTTACGCTGTCTGTTGCTTGGTACAGGCTCTTCAAGTGGCTGTATGCGAGTTCGGTGGAGTTGCCGTATCCCCGGTAAGACCGAATATTCTGCTGCTGATTCGGAGTGATGTTCCTCAGTAGAATCGTGTACGCCATCATTGACTGATACGTGTACTGCTGTTTGTCATATTGTGTGCCGTGTGTTGGATATGGCAGGGATCCGTCGAAGAAGCCAAGAATCTGCGTGCCTTCCATCATCAATTCGAACTCGAATGACCAGGCGAAGAAGTCCTTTCCGTCGAAGGGTCTTGACGTCTGTAGTTTTAGGACGTGCGCGAACAACGACTGAACTTGAAGTGCGTCCAGTGTCTTCTCTTGTCCAGGTGCAGGCTGTGGTTGTGGCATAAAGCTGACGGAGCCGCGCTGGGGCTCGTACGGAGCAAAGGTAGGTTGCTGCTGTTGTTTTCCGCGTGCGTAGGATGAATCATCAAGGCTCATTGGAGTCACGTTGTTGTTGTTGTTGCTGTTGTTTGACTGCGCAGGTGCCGACTGTTGGTGTTGCTCGTAGAAGGACATGAAGGAGAAAAACTTCTCCATCATGTTCTGATCGAAGCCTGCAGATTGATTCGCAGGAGTCTCAGTAGAAGTTGCTCTTGGTCTTGTTGCCGTACCCTCCTCTGTCTGTAGGCCAGAGGCATGAGGTGGAGTAGGAGTAGTACTCGGGGAGCCGTTAGAGGAGCTCCTTTCCTTTTGTGTTGCCATGTCTTCTGACGTTGTAGATAACTTGATAATGGTTGAATTCCCCCTGTTAGCTCTGATACCATGTTGGGCTGAGAAAAGCGCTTAGGATCTTTGCAGGGCTGAACTCTGGGTAGGACTTGTTGCAATTAGCGGAAGCTTTAATGAGAAGTGTTTGAACCACCTTGCGCTGGTATGTGAGGGCAAAGTGAATTGATTAAAGCAAAGAGATACAAGATTATATAAGAGTACAATGAATACGTAGAGATACGGTTCCAACTGTTTTACTGTTGCTGTTGCGGTTCGATACAGCGACGACTCGGGCAACTGCTCTGTAACGAGTCAGTTGTGTGTCCTTGCTGTCGCGCTGTACTTGTCAGGTCAAAAGTCGCTGACCTTTGACTTTCGCGTAACCTCCAGCAACTGCTGAACCTCCGAGGGTTGACTCGCCAGTGCTTCGATATGCTTCGCTTCGCTTCTGACTTGGTGTTTCGAAACGACAGAGGCGCTCAGAGTTGATTGTTTCCAACATGTTGGGCTTTTGTTTAGTCTATCACTACAATTTATAACTCCTACAGCATTCAACAAAACAGCAGTCAATGTGAAAAGACTACCGTACGTGCACATGCTGGTGTGACAAGCAGCAGGCTGCCCATTGTATGCAATGCAACCCACAAGAGATTCATGTGTGTGTGAATTCTCAGACTATAAGCATGGTGTAGAGCACCAATCAGTGGCACTGACAATTATAAACTACAATGCTCTCTCGAGTGGGGGAGGAGGTTGGAGCGGAGAGGGAGGAGAGGGCAGGGCAGGGAGTGAACGCGAAGAGAGAGTGGCTGCCTGCACCGTGCCACCCTCGTTCTGAGCCCATCGCGGGTTGCACCCGCCCGGGGTACCTCGTCTCCACAGCATTGGGGTGCCTCACAAGAAAGGAGGGGGAGAGAGGGGCGAGAAGGGGGTAGGAGCAGGGAGGGTGGAGACGGCAGGGAGTAGATGCAAGGAGAGAAAGGCACCACCTTGCCGCCCTCATTCTGAGCCAATCTAAAGAATGCATCTGGGGTACCTCGTCTCCACTGCATCGGCCTTGTGAGACGCCGCAGAAGTTGATCCGGAGAGAGGAGCGGGGAGGAGAAAGGAGCAACGAGGAGGGAGGAACAGGGAAGTATGAGCAAGGGGGGAGCAGTGGGGAACAAGGCAGGAACGCAGAACCATGAGTGGGGAATGGGAGGTGGGGAGAGATGCGCAGCGGAGGGAGGACTTGGAAAAGAGCAGGGAGGGAGACACGTTACCTTGCCGCCCTCGTTCTGCGCCCATCACGGGTTGCACCCGGGGTATTGCTTCTCCACGGCCTTGGGCCTTAAGATGTCTCACAAGACGAGCGGGAGAGATGAATGGGGACCGGGGATTGGGGAAGAAGGAGCAGGAAGGGAGGGGCTGGGAGGGAGCAGGAAGGGAGGGGCTGGGAGGGAGCAGGAAGGGAGGGGCTGGGAGGGAGCAGGAAGGGAGGGGCTGGGAGGGAGCAGGAAGGGAGGGGCTGGGAGGGAGCAGGAAGGGAGGGGCTGGGAGGGAGCAGGAAGGGAGGGGCTGGGAGGGAGCAGGAAGGGAGGGGCTGGGAGGGAGCAGGAAGGGAGGGGCTGGGAGGGAGCAGGAAGGGAGGGGCTGGGAGGGAGCAGGAAGGGAGGGGCTGGGAGGTAGCAGGGGGGAACAACGCGGGAAACACGGGGTCGCACCTTGCCGCCCTCGTTCTGCGCCCATCGGGAGTTGCACAAGGGGTATTGCTCAAGGGGTTCCCCGCCACCATGGGCGTTCGAAATGGCTCACAAGATGAGAGGGAAGGGCAGGGAGAGGAGAGGGCAGGCGCAATAAAGAGGAAGCCCCACCTTGCCGCCCTCGTTCTGAGCCCACTGCGAGTTGCACCCGGGGTACTTCTTCTCCGCTGCCTTGGCCACTGAGACGCCTCAAACGATGAGTGTTGAAAAGGGCGTGGGGAGAGATGCGTGGGGAGGGAGGAGCTGGGAAGGAGCTTGCACCCGCGATATTTCTTCTCCGCCACCTTGGCCACGTCTCTCAGTCGCTTGCGCTTGCCTTCCTTCAGCAGCTCGTCAAACTCGCCCAGAGCATCCCTCCCTTGCCCTGCTCGTCGTAAAATCGACCCACCAGATAGCCCACGTGGCTGGTAGGAGAGGAAGGCAAGGGGGACAGGAGGTGAAGGTGGCGGGTTAAGGCAGGGAGGAGAAATTGCCTATCGCTCTGCCAGCCTTGGTCATGTCTCTCTGCCGCTTGCCCTCCTTCAGCAGCTCGTCAAACTCGCCCAGAGCATCCCTCGCCTTGCCCTGCTCGTCGTAAAATCGACCCACCAGCTTCCCCACGTGGCTGTAGGAAGGAGGGCAGCGCAAACCACGGAGGACAAAGGGTGAGGGTGAAGAGAGGGATAGTCGAAACGCCCCATGCACACACACATGCAGCTCTCATGCATGCGGTTCCTCGCATGAATGGTGCTTGCACGAAGCAGCTCACATGTAGGTTTCGAAGTCGAAGTCGCGCCAGTCAGCGATGCCGATGCACTGCTCGCCTGACAGCCCCGTCAGGTCGTCCGTTAAGCCGTCGCCTGCAGGATGGCGAGGGATGAGAGGGATGGAGAGGGATGGAAAGCGATGGAGAGGGATGGAGAGGGATGGAAAGGGATGGAAAGGTATGGAGAGGGATGGAAAGGGTTTTTAAACAGGAGGTAATGGGAGAGTAAGGGATGGTAACGGGGTCGCACCTTGCCGCCCTCATTCTGCGCCCACCGCGAGTTGCACCCGGGGTTTTGCTTCTCCACAGCCTTGGGCGTTTGAAGTGCCTCAAGAGATGAGAGGGGAGAGCAGGGCGGGAAGAAGGTGGGCGCAAGAAAGAGGAAGCCCCACCTTGCCGCCCTCGTTCTGAGCCCACGTCTCTCAGCCGCTTGCCCTCCTTGAGAAGCTCGTCAAACTCGCCCAGCGCTTCTCTTGGCTTCCCCTGCTCGTCGTAAATCCGCCCCACCAGCTTGCCCACGTGGCTGCAAGTAGAGAAACCGAAGGAGGGAAGGGGTAAAGGTTCAAGGCAGGGAGGATTGTGTAATGCTCTGCCAGCAGTGGCCTCAGCCGCTTGCCCTCCTTCAGCAGCTCGACAAACTCGCCCTGCACGGCACCTCACCCCTCTGCACCCATAGATCCATCTCACCCTCTCCGAGATGCCAATGCACTGCTCGACTGACAGGATATCAGTCCCTCACATGCATTCTTACCACACCCAGCACAGACAGTGGGGTGCTCAGCACCAGGGTAAGCACATGAACGTCAAATGCACGAAGCAACTCACATGTAGGTCTTGAAGTAAAAGTCGCGCCAGTCAGCAATGCCGATGCACTGCTCTCCTGACAGCCCTGTCAGATCGTTCGTTAAGCCGTCATCTGCAGGATGGAGAGGGATGGAAAGGGGTGGGAAGGGATTGAACAGGGAGGGAGAGCGGGGGAAAAGGAGGGTGTACCTGTGGTGCCATGTGGTGCCAAGCAGTGCCAAGCGGTCAGCCAGGGACAAAGGAGCTCAATTTGAATAGGACAAAGGCTTACCACACATGCATGGCATGCTATGGCATCGCATACCTTGTCATGGTGCCGTATGGTATAATGATATAATATGTTATGGTATGCTACGGTGTGCTATGGAATGGTATAGTATGCTATGGCATTCTATGACATGGTGTGGTATGGCATGGCATGGCATGGCATTGCATAGCATGGCATGGCATGGCACGGCATGGCATGGCATGGCATGGCATGGCATGGCATGGCATGACATGGCATGGCATGGCATGGCATGACATGGCATGGCATGGTCCGTCATACCTGAGAAGTTGCCTGAGACAAATGCCCTCGTGGCATCTCTGTGAGAGGGGATGGGATTCATGGAGAAAGGGGTTGAGGTGAGAGCGAGGTGTGGAAAGGAGTGAGTGCGAGAAGGGTGGGGAAACGGATGCCAAACGAGGGTGTAGGAGTATAGATGCAGAGAAGCGGAGTTGAGGCACAGGCAGGAAGAAAGCGGATGGAGGGAGCAGTGGGCAGCTTTTGAGACAGCCGATGGCATGGCAGAGGAGCAATGCACGAGCTTGCACGCACAAAGGTGGGTTTAATTTAATTCAACCTTCCAAGCCATATACTCTGGGATGCGCACAAGACCCATCACGGGAGTGTAGAAACTGGGGGTTGTAATGCGAACTCTTGGCACGCCGAGGGAGTGAGTTCGTTGACCTGCCTGCCATTGAAGCACAACCTTTCGTCTAAGTACCTGGCAGCTCTAAAGTGACTAGAAGAAGCACAGATATCCCACATCGGAATTATCTTTTGAGGCGCCTCAAAAGAAGAAGCACAGATACCCCACATCGGAATTGTCTTTTGAGGAGCCTCAAAAGAAGAAGCACAGATATCTCACCCGAAATTGTCTTCAAAGCACCGCAGCAGGCGTGTCGAGAGCATCGTGACACTCGTTGACTTGGCATGTCATGCCATGTGCGGTGTGCTGTTTGGCTGAGCCCTGTGGGGATTCGTCTGTTCATATAAGTTCATATATGCTTGGTGGAATCCCGTCCAATGTTGCGCAGCATTGTGCTGGCTTTTACATCACAGCCACTTTGAAGTCCTTCTCAAACTCTGGCCTGGCAACATGCGCTTCTGACCTGGCAGCCTGAGGCTGACCTGGCACCCTGAGGCTGACCTGGCACCCTGAGGCTGACCTGGCACCCAGAGGCTGACCTGGCACCCTGAGGCTGACCTGGCACCCTGAGGCTGACCTGGCACCATGAGGCTGACCTGGCACCCTGAGGAATTGACCTACTGGCTTGGGACCCTGAGCCCGGCTGATCTGGCAGCCTGCGGTGCTGACCTGGCAGCCTGGGCTACTAACCTGCCAGCAAAGTGGTTGTACCCCTGCCCCTTGCCGTAGTGCTTCCTGCCCTTGGTCACGTCAAACACGTCCCTACACGCATGGGGTATGAGGTATGGAGGAGGATGGGCGTGTGGGGCATGCGGAGTGGTATATGGGATATGGGTGTGAAGAATGGTGCATTGGGCATAGGCCAAGGCGCATTGGGCATGGCGCATTGGGCATTGGGCTATGGGCATTGGGCATTGACTTTTGAGTCGACTCAAAAGTCAACTGGCATTGGGCATTGGGCATTGGGCATTGGGCATTGGGCATTGGGAAGTGAGCATGAGGCATTGGGCATTGAGCATTAGCTCTCGCCTGCCCACGCCACATTCACCCTCGCCTGGCCACTGCACACGCATTCCTCTGACTAATCCAACGCCCCGCTCACCCCAGAATGCCCAGCAGCAGCGGAAGTCCCTTCGTCGACCCGTTATACTTGGCCAGCTCCTCCGCGCTCCACAGCTTCTGTTATAAACGACAGTCACAAACGAGACAGTCACAATGAATACAGTCACACTTCCAGTCAGTCACATTGGCATCGCCAGTACTGCTGCCCTATCTGTGCACATTCGAACCCACGTGAAGCTTGCATGCAAGCGCACAGATAGGGCAGCAGCGGATGAGGAAACGCAGGCTGAGAAACCCGAGGGTGAGGGTCGGGGTGGCGCTGGAGAAGCATGTAATCAGCTGACAAAGAGAGTCGCATGCGTGGGGATGCGCCGCTGATGCCTCTTTAAATGTCTCAAACAGCATGCGGTGATCTATCTGACAGAGAGTGGTACGTGTGTGTGTGTGACGCGCCGCGGTTGAGAATTCACAGATGACTAGAGGATTCACATCCGAGCTAGATTTCAGAAGGTAAGGTCCGAGGGGAAGAAAAGGACGGTTGCAGAGGGACAAACGAGAATGAATCACGTGACAATAAGGGATGAGGTGACAAAAAGGGATCGCTCAGCGAGAGATGATCGCAGCCCTTCGTCGCCAGCCCTGCGACGCACTCAGCGACTCGGCGACGCGTATTGGGGACACATTGAACGACGAACGCAGCGACTCACATCAGCTTGCCATTGGGCTTTCCGCGGGTTGGACCGCGTCGCGACCTTCTCGACGGGCGGCTCGCTCTCGAACTCCTCGTCGTCGTCGATCGCGACAAACTCGCTGTATTCCCGCCACAAATAATAACCCGCGCCCGCCGCTGCCGCCACCAGAACCACGAGCACCAGCACGAGCCAGCCGGACCGCCGGCGCGGCGACGCGCCACGTGGCTTCGCCTTGTCCTTCAACCCGTCGGTTTGATCGCGTTGACGTTGTCCGGCGCGATGGATGGCTGCGATGCGTCGGCCGGCGTCCGACGCTGCTTCAAGCTGACGCCTGCCGCTGTCGCCGTGGCCGTCGCTGCGCTGCTCTCGCTTATGGAGAATGGAGGACAGTATCCGATAGTATGCGACCGTAAGCGACAGTATGCGATAGTATGCGCCAACTACCTTGTCGTGAACTATGCTCGAAGCACTTCGTGGTAAAAGAATACAAGGAACATGTGAATATCCGCTTCACACGACTCGACCTTTCTGATCTGAAGCTTGGACAAGGAGCACTGAGCTATTCTATTTCAGTAATTCATTTGGGCTGTGTTGCGGATTTCCCTCCACCGCTGCTGCGCGCATCAGCGGAGATCTGGTTGTCTGGTAGCGCGCCCCTACGTAATCCTCCCGCCAACGAATCCTTCTCTTTTGCGTTCGCGACATTCGCGCGCTGTCATCAATCTGATTCTCGGGATTCGATGGTCGGTGTTCCAAAGCCATGATCCCATTGGACATCTAAGAAAAACCTGGACGCTCATTGGCGAACGAGCTGCATCGAGAACATCGCGAGATTGGCGACGGAACCGAATGCCTTCGCGAGCCAATGAACAAATGCCCAAGCGAATACTCAAAGAACGTAAAGCATCTCACTGAACCGCACTCAAACAAACAATTCGCCTATTCCTTCCTTTCCCCTCCAAGCTGGTCATCCACGGTTTCCTTCCCCTTCTGGCCACTTGACCAGGCAGTCTGTTCACATTTGCCGCCAAGTCACAAGGTGCCTGGCGTTCGTATACGTTCGACACGTCAGCTCAGCCGAGCTGTCCATTTATCGATCCGTCTCGCCGCGCACCACCCTAAACGATTGCCTACCCGTACTGCGTGACTGCAGCATCCGCAGCCAGAAAATCACTATCGCCGTCCGTTCTCTCAATCGCCTTAGTCTCCTGATTCTCCTACAGAGCGAATGAGCGACTCTGGAGTGTGCGACGCTAGAATGAGCGACCCTAAACTGAGTTTTAGCGAAGCGGAAGAGGCGCGGAGTGAAGCGACGGAGCCGCTCGGCGCGCAGCAGGCGGTGATGATCTTCGTGAAGCGGCCGGCGCCGGGGCGCGTGAAGACGCGCCTGGCGGCCGGCGTGGGGGCGGACGCGGCGTGCAACTTCTACCGCGCGTGCTGCGAGCACGTCGTCACCCGGGTCGTGCTCTGCCCCGACCTGTACGTGACTATAGCGAGGCGCAGAGCCCTCGGCAAGTACGGTAGCTGTTGTGTGTGACCTCCAGTTGCGACTATATCTGACTCCCCTTTGAGGATTCTCAAAAGTGATCCAGGTATGGCATGGTCGCGGCGAGTGCATGTCTGGGGATGTGCTCAGTGCAATCATTGCTGTGCCGTAGATGGCTTCGATTTTCATTCTGATCAGCCGGTGCTGTGGTGTGGCAGGCAGGCGGGCTTCCACGCATGTCTTCATCTTCTTCTCTGAGCCGTCGGATGAAGGCGAGATCCGACGGTGGATGCAGCAGATGCTGCCTTCCTCCACCTCCCTCCGCTTTGTGCCTCAGGTTGGAACTTTCGCGTTATTCCAGCTCAGCGGTATAGTCTCACTTCATTCTCATACCCCATGCTCACATCCCATGCTCACACCCATTCTCACACCCATTCTCACACCCCATTCTCACACCCCATTCTCACACCCATTCTCACACCCCATTCTCACACCCCATTCTCACAATGCTCACACCCCATGCTCACACCCATGCAACCATCATTCCCACATGCAACGCACGCCTGTCGCCCATATGCCGGAGTCCGTGCATGCATCGATCGCTCCTCTGCAACCAGGGGGGAGACGTGGGGACGCGCATGCAAGGAGTCTGTCACTACTTTAAGCCCGAAACCCAAAACCCCGTCACCCTGAAACCCAATGCAAGCAGCCTTTCATCATTGTACAACCAAAACTTTAAACCCCATAGTGCTGAACCAAAACCTAAATGCAGGTGGGGGGGGACGTGGGTGCATGCATGCAAGCAGCCTTCCACAACCCTACATCCGAAACCCTAAACCCTCCAACCTGAACCCAAAACCCAAACCCATGCAGGTGGGGGGAGACGTGGGGGCGCGCATGCAAGCAGCCTTCCAGCACGTGCTGGGCCTGGGATACCAGCGGGTGAGAGCACATCAAGGTTAACGTAGGGTGAGCTGAGCTCTGGGGATTGTGCATGTGGATACCTCCGGTGAGCGTTGTGAATCCTGCGAGTCGCACATCCGTCTGCTTGCACTCTTTGATCAGATCCTTGCCGGTGTTCCCTGCTTTCCACTCTTACACAAGGGTTTACAAGAAAGCGCCCTCTTCTTTTTTACCTGAACAAAAGTTGCTGCCACCACGTGTAGTCATGTCACCTAACAGGTGTTTACTCGGTCTTGAATCGGATCCTTGCTAGTGTTCCCTGCTTTCCACCCTTCACGTATTTCCATGCCGTCGGCCTTTGGCAAGAGATTGTATTTCTTTCAGTCGACTCGCAAATCATCATTGCGCTAAGGCAGTTGGTGGTATTGAAAACAACATCCCTGATATGATTGGTGCTGCTGTGCCGCTGCTCTCTCTCTCTCTCTCTCTTCCCCATGGCATGTGCTCGTCTCTCTGCCTCTTTGCCTCCCACGCTCCGCCATGCCAGGTGGTGGTGATCGGAACAGACATCCCTGATGTGGATGGTGCAACTGTTGTTGCTGCGCTCTCTGCTCTTAAGCGGCACCGGGTGAGTGGAGGAGAGGGGAGTGGGGACACCAGTGGGTGAGAGGAGGCGTGCGGACATTTCCTGGACACTCTGTGGCTTGCAGAGGTAAGGTTTGTGATCGGATCGGGATGAGGCCGCTGTGGCTGCTGCGCGCTCTCTGCTCGCGGGCACCACCAGATGAGTGGAGGACTGGAGGGTAACGAACATGCAGGCTGGATGTGGGATGTGTGGCAGGTGGAGGGGATGAGTTCGAGGGAAGGGAAAGGAACACAGGGGCTTGTGTTTGATGACCAGGATTGCGTTGGAAATCAAGTTTCTGAAAGAAAGTATGCAAATATGCCCGTTTTATTTTTATGAAAGCTCTTGGTTCATTGCATCCTTTGGGTTCCCTGGCAGGTGGTGTTTGGGCCGGCCCTGGATGGCGGATACTACCTCCTTGGGCTCACCGCAGTGCTGCCATGCCTTTTCCAAGTAAGTGGTGCATGCCACAATGTGTGTGAAAGGCATGTCACCATGTATGTGTGGAATTGCACCATGTATGTGGGGCATGTCACCATGTGTGTGGGGCATGTCGCAATGAGTGTGGGGCATGTCGCCATGTGTAGTGTGGTCCATTCATGCATACCCGATCTCCCATCTGCATCCCTCTCGATTGCATTCTCTTGTTCTTCCAATCTCTCCCCGCGACTCTTTCCCCCGCCATCCTTCCACCCCCCCTCTTTCTCTCCCATCACCCAACCCCATCAGGGCATCGAGTGAAGCACAGACAGGGTGCTGCAGCAGTCACTCTCTGCACGCCACACCAACCCAATGCCTGCCATGGTATCACAGGCATGCCTGCCCCCCTTCCTGGCCCCATCCCCTTGCTCTCCCACCACCATACCCCATCAGGGCATAGAGTGGAGCACAGACAGGGTGCTGCAGCAGTCGCTCTCTGCTCTCTCAGCACTCCACTCCAACGGGGTGGCTGACGTGGCACCACTGGATTCGCTACCACGCCTGAGGGACATCGACACTGTTCACGACCTGACAGCCTGGCTCGCAGAGAAACGCGCGGAGGCGGGCGGCGAAGGTGTTCTAAAGGCAGACTCTACGGTGCTGAGCGGTTGTGGGGTTAATGAGAAGACGGGGAATGCGGAGAATGCATTGAGGGCAGCGCATGTGGATGTGCCCCCAACAATACATTCTCCTCTTGGCTGTGTGCATGGAGCTAGGGTTGGCAGAACGGAAGGCGAAACAGACACCGAGGGGTTACTTTCTGTAGTTGCACGTATCCTTGGTCGAGTAAGCTCAGTAGGTGGATTGTAGTGTTGCCTTGTGTGTCTTGGTATCGATACTGCCAGGCACCTAGCCGGCAAGATGCAGTGGCAAATCTATTCGTCGGCACATTAAAAAGGGTGCCTTGCCTTGTGTCAAAGCTCCAGTCCCCCCGAGCACCACGCTGCAGCGTTGTACTTACGTATCTCAACAGACGCGAAGTAAGGAAGGTTGTTTGTTTCCTTACACACCACACCACCTCACCTTCGCCTCTCCTAATTTGAAAGCTCCACGGATGAGGATAGAGTCAGAGAAAAACATTGGTGAATGATACATGTTATGAACATTACATGCATTTTTATTGCCTTAACCACTTTTCCCGCCTCCTCCCTCCACCAACTACCGGTACACCTCTTCATCTCATTCTGCTACACCACATGAAACAATAATAACAAACATTTCACGATACGGTACCAGCGGCCTAGTCTAGATGACCTTGGCGAGCTGGCACTCGGTGGTGTTGGTCATTGAGTAGCTGTTGCCGTTGCCGAAGCGCAGCTCCTGCACGCAGGGCCGGAAGTCCCACGTGTGCGCATACACAATGTTCACCGTCTCCCCGGGGAGCATCTGCAACTTGCCGTTAGCACCGCGGTTCATGCGCATCTCACAGTACCCCGGCAGCGTCTGCACGAAAATGTCGCCTGTCTGGTACTGCGTGGGGTTGGGCGCGGGATTGTCGAGGACGCCCTCCCATATGTTGTAGAAGTTGAAGCACTGCCACACGCGCAACGGGCTGGTGACGTTGTAGGCGCAGCCGTTGTAGAATGTCATGTTGTAGATGTCGTTGTGCAGGTCGTACGGCCCCAGGTACTGCGACCGGATCGTCACTGTCGTGCGCCCGCATGCTGGGAGGTGCAGGGGAAAAGGGGGAGGGAGATAAGGGGAGGGAGGGGCAGAAGTGAGTGCAGGTCGTACGGCCCCAGGTACTGCGAGCGGATCGTCACTGTTGTGCGGCCGCATGCTGGGAGGTGGGAGGGGCAGAAGGGACAGGGGAAGTGGTGAGTGGGGTCAGGCATGCCGGGAGGATTGTCACCGTCGTGCGCCCACATGCTGGAGAGTAGGTGGGGCTTGGGGGGAAGGGGGGGGGGAGGGAGGACGAATAGACAGAGCTATCACTATGCATCCCCATGAGAGAAATGCGAGCCATGGGGAGCAGCGGAATGAGAGGCAAGGTGATTAGATAATTGGGGGCCAAGGAGAGCAGAGAAATGAAAGGTTAAGGTAGCAGTTAAAAGCCAGGGAGAGCAGAGAAATGAGAGGCAAGGGGAACAGAGAAATCAGAGGTGAAGGGAGCAGAGAAATGAGGGGGAAAGGGAGCAGAGAAATGAGGGGGAAAGGGAGCAGAGAAATGAGGGATAAAGGGAGCAGAGAAATGAGGGATAAAGGGAGCAGAGAAATGAGGGGTAAAGGGAGCAGAGAAATGAGGGGAAAAGGGAGCAGAGAAATGAGGGTAAAAGGGAGCAGAGAAATGAGGGGAAAAGGGAGAAGAGAAATGAGGGGAAAAGGGAGCAGAGAAATGAGGGGTAAAGGGAGCAGAGAAATGAGGGGAAAGGGGAGCAGAGAAATGAGGGGAAAAGGGAGTAGAGAAATGAGGGGCAAAAGGGAGCAGAGAAATGAGGGATAAAGGGAGCAGAGAAATGAGGGGTAAAGGCAGCAGAATAATGAGGGGTAAAGGGAGCAGAGAAATGAGGGGTAAAGGGAGCAGAGAAATGAGGGATAGAGGGAGCAGAGAAATGAGGGGTAAAGGGAGCAGAGAAATGAGGGGAAAAGGGAGAAGAGAAATGAGGGGAAAAGGGAGCAGAGAAATGAGGGGTAAAGGGAGCAGAGAAATGAGGGGAAAGGGGAGCAGAGAAATGAGGGGAAAAGGGAGTAGAGAAATGAGGGGTAAAGGGAGCAGAGAAATGAGGGATAAAGGGAGCAGAGAAATGAGGGGTAAAGGGAGCAGAATAATGAGGGGTAAAGGGAGCAGAGAAATGAGGGGTAAAGGGAGCAGAGAAATGAGGGATAAAGGGAGCAGAGAAATGAGGGGTAAAGGGAGCAGAGAAATGAGGGGAAAAGGGAGAAGAGAAATGAGGGGAAAAGGGAGCAGAGAAATGAGGGGTAAAGAGAGCAGAGAAATGAGGGGTAAAGGGAGCAGAGAAATGAGGGGTAAAGGGAGCAGAGAATCAAGGGCCAAGAGGAGCAAGGTGAGCAGAAAAATGAAAGCTAAGGAGAGAAGAGACACGAGAGGTAAGGGGAGCAGAGAGAAGTGAGAGGTAAGGGGAGCAGAGAAATGAGAGGTAAAGGGAGCAGGGAAATGAGGGGTAAAGGGAGCAGAGAAATGAGGGGTAAAGGGAGAAGAGAAATGAGGGGTAAAGGGAGCAGAGAATCAAGGGCCAAGAGGAGCAAGGTGAGCAGAAAAATGAAAGCTAAGGAGAGCAGAGACACGAGAGGTAAGGGGAGCAGAGAGAAGTGAGAGGTAAGGGGAGCAGAGAAATGCGAGGTAAGGGGAGCAGAGAGAAGTGAGAGGTAAGGGGAGCAGAGAAATGAGAGGTAAGGAGAGCAGGAACGGGCTGTGATAAGAAAGGATCAGCAGAGCTAAGGAAGCAAGGCAGCGACGAGAGGGAGAGGAGGGAGCAGCGTTGTGTTGCGTACTGGTGGCGAGGGCCTGGCGGCGGGGGATGTGGTCGAGGTAGTCGGGCAGAGGGGCGTGGTGAGCGAAGGTCTCAGCCGCCAGAATGCGCGCGCCCTTCCTCTGCTGCCCCGCGCCCACCCCGCCAGGCGCAGCACCGTCCCCACCCTCCTCTGGGACCAGGCCCCTGGCTACCTTCATGGCGTCCCGCGCTCCACTCACTGCCGCCGCCAGCAGCCCCACTGCCAGCGCTGCCAGCACGAGCACGCGCATCCCAGCCTTCGCCATGAGGGAAGGCACACAAGTGACTGCTGAGTTGCCTTAGAACTCGGCTTGCGCAGATTTGGGTTGCTGAGTTGAGTTGGAATGGGGCTTGCAAAGCAGCTGGAGAGAGCTGGAAGGCTGCTGCAAACGGGTTCTTGAAGGGGAGAGTGAGAAGAGAGGCGGATGGAAGACTGAAAAGAATGGCGGATTGGAGCTGATGAGTCCATGGCTGCACATGGCGCCGGCTTTATAGGCGCAGGAAGAGGTGTGCACCGCTGCACGGCTGTGGAGAGAGGTAGTTAAGAGAGGTGTCCCGCGACTCGACGAATACGTGGCGTGGAGGAAGTTCCACTAGCGCAAGGCGACGCTATCACTGGAGGAGGCGAGGTGTCGTGGAATCATGCGAGGCGACGAATGATGCGACGGGAAGTGCGTCGCAATCGCTGCTCGCACGCTTGGATGCCGATGTTGTGGCTGTGGCAATGATTCAGAGCCATCGTTACCCATCGTGACGAAGGATCTCATTGCTGGCTGTAGCGCGGTTCATATGATGCGTAAGATCATGCGCGTCGCTGAAGCATACCGAGGCTGGATTTCTCTCAACCTCTCTAGAGCGACTCGACCTGCCGACATGATGCCATGATCCATGTAACGAAATTCGCGTTTGCTGGAACTAACTACCACACCGGATCAGCGTCGTCCCTGGATTCCGAATCGCACTCGTTTTCTCTCGCCCGGTTCGATTCTCATGTCCCTACTCGTCTCAGTACTACCTTCCTTTGAATAAAGGGAGCTTCGCGGTTAGAAGCAGTTCGTGAGTCAACGACATGCATTAGCCGTGTCGCATTCTACCCGACAATCTGCAAGTTAGTGGGACGAATCGCAGCAAACAAGAGCTCGTCAGTATTTCCGTGCCTGTCGCCTATCGGTGAAGTCAAGGACGTAGAGAAGAATTGACGAGGGAGAAGCAGCAGAGGTTGCTTTTCCCTCTCGGCTTCAATCTCGATCTTGGCTTGGAAAAGGCTGTTGGTGTTCCTCGGGATGTCGCGGAAACGGTTAGTGCAGTGCGCAGCAGCGAGTATGCGAACGAATTCGGCATCAGTGATTTCGTGCAAGGCTGGGAAAAACGTGCGACACCAAATCTGTTACCTTGTTCGTACTCGATTCAAGACGATTTCTGGCTTCGCTGTGCCAATGGAACCGAACGCAACAACGATTTCGAGGCATCAAGTGAATAAGATTGCTGATATTCACATGTAGCAAGATGTTACGGGTGCAATGGAACGAGATAGAGAGAATTGCACTAAGTGCTGTTTTTATCAAGGAAATTTCCCTGGTTTAAGGGTGATTTCAGGCCTTCCACTTTAAGGGTGATTTAAGTTCTCAACCCTGATTCTATCATAGTAATAGATTTCATATCCCTGATTTTGAGTAGTGTAACATATCATAGTGTAACAGACTAGCCTGTTTAATGGACCCTGACTTAACAAATTATCGATTCTATAGTCCCCGACTTTGACCTTATCGAAAGGAAGTTTTTCCAAAATTTTCTTTCGATAACCCCGCCTTCGGATTGATTGCAGTATAGCCAGGGCGTGAGCGACCTCGAATGAGACATTATCGAGGTGAAGGTTCCAATAAACTTCGTAATTGTACCCCCCAAATGTGTAAACCCCTTGTTAAAGTTTAGAAGAAAGAAGAGGGTTGCACTAGCAAGAATGAGGATACAAATAGCAAACCCTAGAAGGGTTGTACTCGCTATAGAGCACCCCACTACAGGCTAGAGCATAAGATAACATTCTGACACACCCCCATAGCCAAAGTGGGGTGTAATCAGCAGAGTAAGCAAAGGAGTACAAGCTCAGGGTGGATCACAATGTCACCACACATTCTGAGCACAAGTTCAAGAAGCAATAGTCTAAGTTCACAATTATGAGCAAAGCTAGTGGTAGTCACAACGGGCAAGTGAGGAGGAGGAGAGAGAGTGAGAGGAGAGGAGATAGGAGGCGACGGCTGAAGCTGCAGACACACAGGCAACAGGAGGCAGACTGGCACAGCGGCTACCGGACGAAGTCCCCGGAATACAGGAGTAACAGGCCCCGCGGCTAAAGTAGCGGCAGACGAGCAAAGGACCCACGGGCGGCTGGCACAGCTGGCTACGACTGGGCTACCGGACGAAGTCCCCGGAATACAGGTGCTGCTGGCGACACGACGGCAACCTCCATTCAGCTTCCCCAAACTATCCCACTCCCCCCTGGCACATACCCGCTGCTACACCGCTAGCTCCACTCCCCCTTCACCCCCCCTTAGTACCACTCCACCGGCTCCAACACGTCCACCCCCCCTCAGCGGCAGCTGCAGCACAGGGAGACGGAGGAGGAGGAGGAGCAGGGAACAGTACACAGTGGGTGCACCCCCATACCCCGCACCCCCAAACCCTAATACAGGAGAATGGGGAGTAGGAGGGGTGGGGCACGAGTAGAAGCGCTGGGGGACAGTAGGGAGGGCAGGGGCAGCAAGGAGCGGGCCCACCACGGGCCTGGTAGGGTCGCCCGAACCGCGCGTAGGCGGCCTGAGCCGCGCGCGGGCCTGGCGCCGCCCGTACGGGCCGCGCGCGGGCCTGGCGCAGCCCGTACGGGTGGCGCGCGGGCCTGGCGCAGCCCGTACGGGTCGCGCGCGGGCCTGGCGCAGCCCGTACGGGTCGCGCGCTGCCTGTACGGGCCGCGCGCAGGCCACGACGGGCGACGGGGGGCGACGAACGGGTCCCCGTCGCCCGTCGCGGCGCCTCCCGAGGGCGACGCGACGGTTGACGGGGCCGAAGCCCGCCGCGCGCCTCGGGGCGCACAGCGGGCAGAGAACCGCCGCGCGCCTCGGGGCGCACGGCGGGCAGAAAACCGCCGCGCGCCTCGGGGCGCACGGCGGGAAGAAAACCGCCGCGCGCCTCGGGGCGCACGGCGGGAAGAAAACTGCCACACGCCACGGGGCGTGCGGCACCGAGTGTAGTGGTAGGAGCTGCAGCGGAAGCTAGGAGGTGGTAAGCCCACCCACAGGATCGATCCAAGGGGATCGACCTGCTCTGATACCATGTTAAAGTTTAGAAGAAAGAAGAGGGTTGCACTAGCAAGAATGAGGATACAAATAGCAAACCCTAGAAGGGTTGTACTCGCTATAGAGCACCCCACTACAGGCTAGAGCATAAGATAACATTCTGACACCCCTCACCATCGAGATCGTACTGCGAGTTTCCAGGATACTTTTTACGAAGTTTCAACGAACTTTCGTCCCTATGCACCCACAATCGAGGTTTAGTTTCGGCAATGCACAGCGCGTTACCACTTTGATCCTGACTTCTCGACCCTCAACAATCAGACTATATAATTTTCCAACACTGACCAATCAGGGTGCTGTATTTTTTTGGAAAATATGCCTTCAGGGTAAAAAAAAAAAAAAAAAAAAAAACAAGAGGCGACGAAACCGTCTTAGGGTTGCGGAGCATTTTGGATTGATAAAAATTTCTTTATTGTTTACTAAGATATGTACCATATTAGGCATTAATATTGTACCCATAGAATTTCTACGGTAAGAACATTTTCTTTAAACCTCCGTATAGCAAGTGTTGTGCCTTAAAAAAACGCGTACCCTCAGTATGTTAGCACTACAAATTAAAACAACATTCAGTTTTTTATGATGTCAATATATAAAAAATAGTGTAGGTAAAATTTCTGCTCTAAGATCATTGACCAACAAATTCTCTAACTCGAGCAACGCGCACACCGCGAATCGAAAACCTTTCCCTCATGAAACTCCTCGAAGACCGCTGTGCTAAACAGATACAATTTGTTGTTCCGTTGTTTAACTAGGACCGCTAAAATTGCGACACAGTTGTTAACTTCCTAGGGTTTCGTTTTTTCCTTTTGTTCGCTCGTGTCTTCCAGCAAGAGCTCTTTTTCTTCCCGCTGCTGCTCCTGGTGTCCTCCCGCAACTCAGCTTCGTAGGTGAGCCGTTTACTAGAGTAGTATTAGTTCTTTAGGAAGATATATAGATCTTGGCGAAACCACCTCGTGGCTAGTCGTTTTCTCATGTTTGAGCCAAAGTTTCATATATGATTTCTCTATAGTGTGTAGATTTCAGGACGAAATGTTAGTCTCTCGCCCTTGTCCTTCTCTCCCGCTTCCATCTCTTTCTGTCGTCCGTTTGCCTCTCTCCTTTACTCTCTGTTGAAATAAGACAATCTAGCTTAGGGTTTGTGTTCCTCTCTTTCGAATTGTTGCAGCCCGATTTGATACATACACATTTTTTTCTCGAAACCGTAGTTTATTGAACTCTCTCTTTATCTCTCATTCGTTCTCTCGTTCGTTCTCTCTCGTTCTCTCTCTCTCGTTCTCTCTCTCTCTCTCTCTCTCTCTCTCTCTCTCTCTCTCTCTCTCTCTCTCTCTCTCTCTCTCTCTCTCTCTCTCTCTCTCTCTCTCGTTCTCTCTCTCGCCCTCTCTCTCTCTCTCTCTCTCTCTCTCTCTCTCTCGTTCTCTCTCTCTCTCGTTCTCTCTCTCTCGTTCTCTCTCTCTCTCTCTCTCTCTCTCTCTCTCTCTCTCTCTCTCTCTCTCTCTCTCTCTCTCTCTCTCTCTCTCTCTCGTTCTCTCTCTCTCTCGTTCTCTCGCTCTCGTTCTCTCTCTCGTTCTCTCTCTCGTTCTCTCGCTCTCGTTCTCTCTCTCGTTCTCTCTCTCTCGTTCCCTCTCTTGTTCCCTCACTGTCGTTCCCTCTCTCTCGTTCCTTCTCTCGTTCCCTCTCTCGTTCCCTCTCTCTCGTTCTCTCTCTCTCGTTCTCTCGTTCTCCCTCTCTCGTTCTCTCTCTCTCTCTCGTTCTCTCTCTCTCTCTCGTTCTCTCTCTCTCTCTCTCTCTCTCTCTCTCTCTCTCTCTCTCTCTCTCTCTCTCTCTCTCTCTCTCTCTCTCTCTCTCTCTCTCTCTCTCCTTCTCTCTCTCTCTCGTTCCCTCTCTCGTTCCCTCTCTCTCGTTCTAGGATTTTCTCT